GAGAGGCCGGTGGTGTTGGTAGTGCACCATCTGAGGATGGATATAACTGGAGAAAATACGGACAAAAACAAGTAAAAGGAAGCGAGTATCCTCGTAGTTATTATAAGTGCACGCATCCGACTTGTCAAGTTAAGAAGAAAGTGGAACGTTCCCACGAAGGTCACATAACAGAGATCATATACAAGGGAGCTCACAACCATCCCATGCCTCCACCCAACCGCCGTTCATCCATTGTATCGTCCAACATACTGAGTGACATGAAACTCGAACTCCCTGAACAAACTGGCCTTCAAAATGGAATAGATGGTGATCCCATCTGGGCAACAACGGCACAAAAGGGAACGGTCGCTGCTCCTCAGGATTGGACACATGACAACAGAGAGATGACATCCTCTGCAACTATATCTCCCAAGAATGGCAACGGACGGGCCCAAAATACTATTTACATTGAATCCGGTGATGCAGTGGACGTCTCGTCTACCTTCTCTAATGATGAAGATGAAGATGATCGGGGGACTCATGGCAGTGTCTCCTTAGGTTACGATGGTGAAGGAGATGAGTCCGAGTCAAAGAGAAGGTTTACATCTTACAAACTGTTTGAATAATGATACTATTGAGATCACTATGCGAATGTTTTCGTGTTTTGTAACAGGAAAATTGAAGCTTATGCGACGGAAATGAGTGGAGCCGCACGAGCTATTCGTGAGCCTAGAGTTGTGGTCCAGACAACCAGTGAGGTGGATATCCTCGATGATGGATATCGGTGGCGCAAGTATGGCCAGAAAGTAGTAAAAGGAAATCCAAATCCAAGGTTTTTTTTATTTCGGTCATTGTTCGATCTTATATAATCTCTCCCATTTGCTCTCTAGTCCATATAGCAGTTTACTGCTATTGGCTGCCGACATAATGCAGAACATCGTTCGCTATTGTTTCGATGCAGGAGTTACTACAAATGCACTAGTGCAGGCTGCACGGTTAGGAAGCATGTGGAGAGGGCATCACACGACCTTAAATCAGTAATTACAACCTACGAAGGGAAGCATAATCACGATGTTCCGGCCGCTCGTAACAGTAGTTATGTCAATTCCGCTGCTTCCAACTCAGCAACAGCCATGGCTGCTTCTGTGCAACCCCATGCCCACAGGCCAGAGCCATCACAACTTCACAACATGGTTAGACCTACACCATTCGGTCCATTTACTCTACCCGGAAGGCAACAACTGGGGCCTTCTCCCGGCTTCTCCTTTGGAATGAATCAACCAGGTCTGGCAAATCTGGCAATGGCCGGGTTAGGCCCCGGGCAACCGAAGTTTCCGATTCTACCCGTTCATCCATACATGCCTCACCAACAGCAGAGCAACGAAATGGGATTCAGGTTCCCGAAAGGAGAAGCGAAGATGGAGCCGTCGACCGAATCTGGTTTGGATCTATCCAACAGCTCATCAGTATACCAGAACCTAATGAGTAGGCTGCCTCTGGGACCACAGATGTAAAATTGTGTTTTTCGGTTGTTTTGAGAAAATAGAAGCATACTTGCGCTTCTCACATATAAATGAGCATTTCACCAGTGCTCGGTTCTTCCTTATATTACTCTGTTGATTTTTGGTGACCTGAAAACGTAAAGCTGAAATTATTATGAAATGCACTACTATTTCTCAATGCTTTAATTTAATTTAATTATATATATTCATTACCCTCCCAGTTTCATTTTTAATCTTTGATTAATTTGTATTGATCCGCTTCGCATCTGATTTTGGTGGGTGAGTATCCTAATAGAATTTTTTTACATACACAAACAATATCAAACTGTTTACCACTTGAACCAAAACTTCTATTGGTTAATTTAATTATATTATTATTGTATTGGATTTGATATTAAAATTTCAAAGTTTTTTTTAAATTAATCACTGATATCTGATCTATTGATCGACTAATCTAGATCGAGTACTATAGAGGCGAAGACGACCCTCCCAACCTAGTTGGCTTCATTCATAAACATCATGATTCGAACTCTTGACCTTAAGAGACCTAATGTCTTATCTCACTATACCAACTGGTTGAGATAAAATTTCAAAGCTTTAAAAATATAGGTAAAAGTAAAATCGATTACTATTGTTATAAACCCTAAGGTGACATTTAGTTCGTTAGAATATTTATGAGGAATTGAAATCTGTGAAGGAATTGGAATCTGTCATGAATTGAAATTCAATTTCATTTCTGTTTGGTTGGCAGGAAATTGAATTAGAATCCAATTTCATATTCTGTTTGGTTCGTAGACATGTCATATGAATTTGATTTCAGTAATGTAAAATGACAGAATTGTCTTCTTGTTTTTTTAGCTTAATTTTAGTTTGTTTTATAAATTACATGTAGCAATATATTATAAAAATTTTAAAAAAATTAAATTTTAATTTTATTGATTGATTATTCATTTCAATAAATTATAAAAATCATGCTAATAAACATTATAAGTTAAAATCATCTCAATTAGGGATGTCCATGGGTCAGGTTGGGTCGAGTTTTTGATCCACCCGACCCAACCTGAGAACAAGGGAACCTCCATCCGAGACCCGACCCGACCAAAATAAAATTTCACCCGACCCGAATATATGAATTAGAAACCCGATCCGACTCGAAATAATAAAAAAATTATTTTTATTCAATGAAAACAGTGACTTAATTCAGAAAATATATATATATGGATATTATTGTAATTATTCCTAAGTATATAAGGTAAAATTATATATTTTTGGATCGAGTCGGGTTAGGTACTTTTCACCCTAAACTCAAACCCGACCCGAATATCACACTTAAAAAAACCGACTCGACCAAAATAAAGTTTCACCTGACCCGACTCGAATATATGAATTAGAAATCCGATCCAACCTGAAATAATAAAAAAAATTATTTTATTTAATAAAACAGTGACTTAATTGAAAAAAATTATATATAGAGAGTATTATTGTAATTATTCCTAAATATATAATGTAAACTTATATATATATTCGGATCGGGTATTTTTCACCCTAAACCCGAATTCGACCCGAATATCACACTTAAAAAAATCGACTGACCCGACCAAAATAAAATTTCACTCGACCCGACCCGAATATATGAATTAGAAACCCAACCCGAAATAATAAAAAAATATTTTTATTCAATATATGAATAAGTTACCAAAAGATTAATGAATGTATTATGATCAAATTTCAATTCCCTCCAAATGAATAAAATTCACTTTTCCTTATTTAATGGAAAGTTGAAGCCATGAGATATTCTAATTTTCTTGAAAAACTTGAACCAAACATAAAAAAATAATGGAATTGAATTTCAATTCTCCTAATTCCAAAGATTCATTAACCAAACGCCTCGGTTGATACTTTTCGTCTTTGTATCGTCTCGTTTTCGTCTCTTCTCTTATATTCTCGTCGGTGGTCAAAGAAAAAACTGCGGTCTAAAATAGCGAGATGCAGAACCAGCACCAATCAACATCCGCCACGTACACCACCATCCCGATCTCACTCTCTGACGTCATCTCCCGCTCCTCCACAATCTCTCCACCGCTCTCTCCCGTCACCTCCGCCCCTGGCCTCAGCTCTTGGGTCCGGCTCCCAATCCTTCTCCGGCCCTCCCAGCTCCTTCCTCTCTCACGCCTCCGCCAATTCCCGCTACTTCCGCGCCAATTACGCCATCGTGATCGCCGCGACCTCCGTCCTCTCCCTCCTCATATGCTCCGCCGTCTTCGCTCTCCGGCTCCTCCTCTACTTCTTCAGAGAAGACCCGCTCGTGCTTTGGGGACAATGCGTCAGCGATCGCTTTGTTCTCCTCTCTTTGCCTTTCCTCTCCGTGTTGGCCGTCTGGGTTTGCGACGTGTTTGAAGATTTGGCGCGCCCTCCTGAGAATCTCCGATGGACTCTATTGATGAAGACGATGCCGTTTCAACCGGATTGGTCCGCCCTGCTGCGCCAATCTAGAACTAAGAGTGTTTCCTTTTCTCTTTCCAATTCCTCTTTGTGGGAATATATCTGATTGCAGATTGTCACTGATGAGCTTACTTGTTTTGAAAATCTGATTGTGTGTGATTCTTTCTGGCTGCCATTGTTTGTTCAATTCACTGAGATTGAGCTTGAGAATTTTGTTACTTTTTTCTTCTATTGAGATTTGGGGTTGAAATTGAGCTCTTCTTGTTTCAAATTAATAAATGCAACTTTCCTGGGAAAATTATGGATTTCTTCATCTCCAGCTGCAACCCCTTTAGCTTGCGTGCCTGCTTTAGCAATTTTGCTATGAGAGAATTACTGAATACCGAGGCTACATGAATGAGCAATTCCCTGAGGCCTTAGCTCTGATTTAAGCATCTTAACAGGATCGAGGCATGTTTTGATTTCGGCTGCGGAAGCCGATGAAACCATCACAGTTCCCGAGAATCAGTAGCTTTTGCACTGGAAATCCGAGGCGCCGGATGTAGTGGGAATTCTGACCGGAATGAATCTTATGCTTCGAGACTGGAGGATGATTCCAGTTAAGGAGTGCTATGAACTACTTGGTATATCATCAGGCTGTGAATTCCCCTCTCCATGGGAATGATGGTGATGGATAACAAGACTGGGGTTACCTTCCGGTGTTTGAGTTCAGGTAACTGGTCAGTGGCGGACTCAATTAGAACGTTTTATATCATCTTTACCATTGAGATCGCCATTTTTTTCAAATCGTTCATGGTTGTTGTCGGAACGCACGAGCAGAAACTTATAACCTCATTCGTTTGTGATTTTTGTGGGAACTTCCACCATGGATTTAGCTACAAATGTGACAGAAGAAGATGCAACTTCAAGATTGCCTTCGATGTGGTTTGCTACCAACACTTGGGATCATCCATGTCATCCGCACCTGCTCTCTTGACAGAAATTATGCTGTGCCGGGGATCACATTAGTTGCAGTAGTCACATATTTCGGCGACGACAAAACAGAACATATCTCAGAAAATAAATGAATATAACACATTCTAAATATCGGATTTTATATCTAAAAAAGTAAATAGTTTCAACTTGGTACAACTAGTTTTAAGAAACTTCATTCGGTGAAAGAGAAAATACCCTTAACAGACACCTTTTGACCTTATTAAACACCACTACTTAATCAAAGATAACCCAGACACTAGGTATTACTATTATTCAGTAATAGGGATCAAACACTAGCATCCTGAGGTTGAATGAAACCTTAATTCATTGCATATTTCTGAGTCCACGAGCGGGCAGTGCTCTCATATTTGGCTTTATCGGTCTTGTACATGTGAGCAATCTCAGGTACCAGAGGGTCATCGGGATTCGGATCCGTGAGAAGTGAGCATATTGAAAGAAGCACCTACAGAAGTACAGAACACAGACTTCACACTTCACATTTCATTCAAATTGCATTGGAATATTTTTTGATGAGTGATAAATATATTCCTCGGCCTTATTTGGATTTGGATATTATTTGATGAAAAAAACTGATGTTGGTTTATGATTCATGCGGATTCACAACACGGATTACATTTAAGCGTATTACCTTGGATATGGTAAGGGCAGGGCTCCACTGCTCCTTCAGAATGTCAAGACAGATGCTTCCATTGCTGTTGATGTTAGGATGGAAAACCTTTGTTCGGAAAGAAACCTGGATTTTAATAAGTAAATTAAGAAAATCAGCTCGAATATAACCCCAACGAAACATCATGTATATAATAAACACATATACATATATAGGGGTAGGATTCACTTAAACTATGTAAAATTCACTAGTTTTACAAGAAAATATAGTCATTAGATGAATCTAAATGGATGGCTGAAAATAAATTTTGTGCATTAACATTATTCTTTTTCTTTTCCAATTTCCACAGAAAATAATTTTGCTTTAATCTCAGTCATGACTCATCAACTATCTATATTTTCGTATAAAATTAATGAGTTTTAAAGTATACGTTGGATCCTATTCCATATATATGCCAACTTCAGTAACCGCAATCAGCCTTATATAGCAGGTAATAGACTACACTTTTAAGTAACAAAACAAAGGCCCATGGATTGGATCACAGCAACAAATCACCATAAACAAAAAGCTTTTGCTAATACAATGTCCATTTTTAGCATAATTGTGTTATGCTCCCAAGCATTACTCTCTTTTTCTATATATTATGTATGCATGTATGGTTTAAATCTCTCTGGATGTGATTATAACAACGTATCTGATTTTAGCCCAAACACCAACAACCCAAACCGAAATGAAGTTGATGTTTCAGATACATACATAAAAACAAACCTATACATACATATATAATAAAACATATCAGCAACTTTTTTAATACCTTGGGAGGCTTGAATGGATAGTCTGGGGGAAAGTGAATGGCAATAAGAAAGAGTCCTCCAGCAAAAGGACTGTCTGCTGGGCCCATGATTGTTGCTTGCCAGTGGAACATATCATCACCAACAGGACCTGAATACATGCAACCATTATTTAAAAAAAACAATAAATTAAATATATCCGACACTGTTCTCTATTCCACAAAGGTGCCCATGTTAGATTTTCAGATACATCAATAAATAAATAAAATAACCAGTTGCCACCTTCATGGCATAAAAAAAACTACAGTCAGGGACGGAGGGTGTGATCACATCATGAAAATTTCATATTCTCATGTAGTTTTGGTATTTTATTTGTAATTTCTATTGATGACATAATTTTGTACCCTTGAAATTTTGTAATTTCACACCGGTCTAAAGTCCTGTGTTTATCCCTGACTACAGCTATTAAGCTAACGGGTTAAATCCACTATAAAAATATATAGAATTATAAGCTGATAATTTTTGGGACGAAAAAATGGTTTCAAACCATGAAAATGATGTCAACAGAACTAATATCGGCAGCGGAATTTTCTATTAAACAATCAAAGAACAGCATATGATGGGTGAAGCAATAAATAGGCATATAATTCGTAGCAAGAAGAACATGAATCATTGGGTTTTTTTTATTGAAAAGTGGGGAAAATGAATTGAAAATAAAGAAAACAAAAGGAAACACAAACCAGCACTGCAAGATGCAGGAGGATCCTTCTGGAGATCCTTCAACTCCTTGTTAATCCGCTTTGAAGCCATGAGATTCTATACAACCCGCTCAAAAGTCTCGACCAAACAATAAGACGGGTGCCAAAACTACAGCGAAAAAAAATCAATAACTAAATCATCAACAGACTGAAAAATCCCTTTTTAATTAATAATCAACCAAGTAAACAATAACCTAACACGAAAATCTCAACACATCAAAGGCAGAAAAAAAATTCCAGGGATCCAAACAGTAAAACAAGCGGTGAAGCCGCGGCAAGTCAATCAAGTACAGAGGCATTAAATTAAACGAAAACGAGAGATTAAAATAAACATATCTGACTAATCGAAACAATATACAAAAGAGAAACGATAAAATGCCCATCCATCGTAATCAGATTAGAAACAAAAATAATAATAGAAAATCAAAACATCAATCAATCATAACTACAAAACGATGAAATTAATCTCAGAAAAAAACAGAGAAGAAAGGAGAGGAACCTTGAGCTTGGCCTTGGAGAAGAAGAAGAAGAAGAAAACAACGAATTTCAAGTGAAACAATGATCAACACAAACTGGTGCTTTGGATTTGGATCCTGTGTGGTTATTTATTACCATAAAATTGAAAATCAAATCAAATGAGAATACCAACAGAAAGGTAGTAGATGATCCTCTGCCACGCGGCACTCTGTTTTACTCTTTGCTTGGCACCCTTTTATTCGTTTTTATTTTTTTAAAAATTATAACTACTTTTTACCAGTAAAAGTGATAAGGGTAAACTATATATTTAGTACCTAAACTATTAGTTTTGATCTATTTTAATATCTAAACTTTGTTTTTTTAAAACCATGCCTAACATTTAGTTTTCATTTCATTTTAGTACCCGCTGTTAAAAACTTAACATGTTTTGTACGTAAAATATCTGTTTTGGTTCGTTTTGATACCTAAACTTTCAATTTTTTTAAAAACTTAATGGTAAATTTTAAACGGGAGTACTACAATAAAACAAAAACTAAAATTTCTAATACGGATACTAAAATGAAACAAAAACTAAACTTTAGATATGGTTTTGAAAAAATTGAAAATATAGATACTAATACGAATTCAATTGATAGTTTAGATACTAAACACATAATTTACGCAAGTAATAAAAAAGAGTAAAAAATTCGAATAAAAAGTATTTTCACATCAGTTTTTAAAAAATATTTTTTATTTTTATAAATTTAAATGTATTTTTAAAATTATTTAAATTTATCAAGATATTAAAGCATTTTCAAAAATATTTAAATTTTATGAATTTATCGGATATTGTTAATAATACTTTAAAATTTTCAAGATAAGTAGTTTTTTTAATATTTTTGATATATTCAAATGCGATCCTTATTTGAAAATAGTTTTAAAGATTATATTATAATTCGAGGAAATTCAAAAATATAAAATCTTTATTTGATCCTTTGTTATATTTAGATCCTTATTTGAACATGTATTGGGGGTCTAAATAAATCAAGTATGAAAAATAAGATTTTATTCGTGTTCGTTTATTTATTTTTGAAGTGTACTCATATTGTTTTTTTTATTTAGAAAAATTGGTACTAATCAGGATCAGTACTGCAGAGGCAAATACGACTACTCCCAAACCTATTTGCTTCATTCGCAATCGTCAGGATTCGAACTCCTAACGTTGCTTAAGGAATCTAGTGTCTCACCTATTAGACCAATTGATTGTTGGTATGTTCATTTAAAATTTTAATATTGTGTTCGCTTATTTATTTTTTAAGGTATTTGTCTTCGGTTTATTTACGTTCGTGAACATATTTATTTGACGTTTGCAAACATATTAGTTTAACATTCATTTAATATTCGACAACCAATACTATTCTTATCTTTTCATTGCAAGCTAAATAAAAATGCTAAAATTAAACCACTAATCCTTGAGTTTCACAATTTGAGTTACAAAGTTCAACACATGTTGAATTTAGTCTCACTTTCATCAATATTCAAATTGTAAAAGAAAAAAGAGAGAGAACTGATAAATAAGTTTATAAATAAATTTTATCTTGTAGATAAACAAACCGAAAATATTTTTATTAGTGTTCGTTTGTTTATTAAATAAACATAAAAAATTTATTTATACCCGTTTTATTTAACTTAATAAACTAACGTTCATCTTTATTTAACTTAGTAAACTATTCATTTACGCTCTTAATAGGATAAAATAACACGTGTGCATATTGATCCATTTCAGCAATTTAGGTTAGGGATAGCAATTTAATCCGCATCAGACGTTTTGACTCGACTCTATCCGATAAGGTCGAATTTAAAAAAAAAAAATCAAATTCGGATGAGATCAGGTTGAATTTATTATATAATGTTTTTCGGATTCGGTTGAAGTCGGACTAGAGGTCAAACGTATCCTACCCGGCCCGATCCGGATATTTTTATATATAGTTTAAGTTATTTACAAAAATGTCATCCTATATATAATGTTTTTAAGGTTTCTTTATATTTTCCTTCTTATGCTGCAGGTTTGAATTCTTCTCTAAACTTTTCTTCATTTCCTTTTAAATTCTATTTCTTCCCCACTTCGGTTTGAATGTTCACAAATCTTAATTTTATTTATTTTTTTCATTATTTAGACGAACCCCTCTCCTTTTTAAAGTTTTTTTATTTTTTCTTTTTTGTTCAAAGAAGAACTAAATTTTGAGAGTTTTTTTTATTTAAAGATTTTGATTCTTTAAGTTATGAGTTATACTGAACTTTTTTTTTATTCTGGGTTTTCGAATTAAACTTGTTTGTAATATCTGCTCTTATTAATAATTTTTTTTATTTCTTTGTTAGTTTATGAATATATTTTATAAAATCTGGATTGATTTTTAATGTAATTTTTTGTTTTAAAATTTCAGCTTAAGAATATATTTTACATATTAAGAGAAAATGGTAGCCATTAGAGTATTGTTCGGAGTCGGGTCAGATTAAACAATATTAAAATTAAAATCGGGTCAGAGTTGGATTAGATTTTATTATGTTAGGTTGGAGTCGGGGCAGGCAAAAATCCAACCCGTTACCATCCCTAGTTAAGGGTTCGTCCATGAGTTGGAGTGGATCTGAGGCGGCAGCAGTTGTATGCACAACCGCACAACCACCCTCCGCCTCCGTCTATCGACATTTGTTTCATTTCCCCTTTTTTTTTTCCTGAGAACTACTTCAATTCGTACAGTTCAAAACATCGATATCGGATAACAAAATCAGGACAGCATCCGTCCTGTAATGCCAAAGCAAATCAGAGGGTCCTTACTCCTTACATGAAAACAATCAGAAACTTGTACAGATTTAATTGCGACTCCCCGAAATCATGACCATGTTTTCATCATTTACATGTCATTAGAACATAATTGATGACATAAATGAGAGCTCGGATACTCGCGTGTTCAGCACCCGTAAGCAACGGAGAGCTACTTATTTCGTGCACTCTCTTGTAGACTTCCTGAAAGATTGGTCGCACGTGGACTGCAATCATTTGGTCTCCCGGGTTGATAGCCGTGGCCACATCTACCATCCATGCGAGTTTTTGTGGCGTGTCCTTGTTGATGTCGCATGCCAATTGCTGTAAGAGGGAGAGCAGCACCCCTTGGCTCAAGGAAAAGGATTGGTCGACAGAATCGTACGTAGATCGACCTAATAAAAGCGAGAAAAATAACAATTGCTGATAAAGCAGCAGACTTTTTAACCAGAATTTCGAGGAAGAACTTGAGACACGTTAGAATCCATAGGGATTACCTGTGAACATAACCAAGCAACTATGGAGAGGTCACTTCTTTGCAGGGCAATTGTGAAAGCTTCTTCATATTTGTGTTCAGAAAAAAATTTCGATAGTTCTTTCGTTGGATCCATCGGCACAATGACCTGAGGCTCCGATTGAAGTTCACTTAAGATTAACCTAAGCTACTAACCAACTGAAACATCTATAAAAGAAGCAATACTTGACAGCCAGGTTCGACTCTGGCGATTCACGTATAATGGAGCATCAGTTTCTTGCAGTCAAACCAAAGCAAATGGGTGAAACAAATATACCTTGTCATGCAGTGAACCTAAAGGTCCATTGCTGAGTTGGGAAGCCAACGAAGTCGCAGCATTGGAGTTGGCTCCAGCAGCTGCAAGTGCTAAAATTTTCCTTTGTCCTTCAGCAAATTCCCCGCTTAAGGTTTTAGCAATCGATGATGCAGAATTTATGGCATCCTGCAATTAAAAAGATTTTACTTTTAAAAAACAGTAAATTAACAAACACATCTTACAAGAGATATATAACAAGTAACATTCCATGTTTTAATGCATGTTGTGCCTCAAATGGCCAAAAACGCGCACACACACACGTGCCAACAATAATTCTTAGTTTCGACATCTGATGCTCCAAATGTAATAAATCTTGGAAAAACAACTCGAGTTACCATCCTTCAAGTGAAACAGTAAGTAAATTTGACCCGGGAAATATACCCTTAAAGTAATTGCCAAAGAAGAATTTGTAGAATCTAATTGCTGCTGAGCAGCATTGGTATGCTCCACCATCCCTTTCTGAAATGCTGCTTCTACTTGCTCAAACAAGGCTTTGCATGAAATCTCAAAGGCAGGGACCACTAGAGCTTCCACACTAGTCCTCAAAGAATCCTGCAACGATAAAAAAAGTATTATATATTAATAACCATCAATTGCCTGGAACATGCCGAATGACAGTAATTCGATATCATAACAAGAGAACGAAAATATCCTTCCAGAGCTATCTCCAAGCATGGTTAACTTGTGCGTATACCTGGAGAGCTTGCTTTCCAGAAGTTTGAAATTGTGCTTGAATTTGCCTGGCAACTATAGCTTCGAGTTTTGAATTAACAGATTTTTCTAGCTGATTCACTGCTTTATCTCCAACCCCTCTCTGTCAAATAAGGGACTAGTTAGATTCCACTAAAACAGCTTTCGTGGAAAAGAACTAGATTTTCAGAAGTCTAACCTGGAAGGACTCATTGATTGCTGAATTTACAGTTTTCTCTATTGCTGGAGTAATGGTACGGCCTACAGCTGGTCCAACTCCAGCTAACTCCTTCTTGATTGCTTTGTCCAACATTACCGCCAAATCTTTGTTCATAAAATTAGTGATCAGGCTCGTTATCTGCTGTGTATGTTCTCGAAGCAGCTTCTCATTTTTCACATTCTCTTCCTGAAATCGAGTCCATAGAGCATCAGTGTTGGCCTTAAGGGCTTTCTCAATGCTCCGTCCTAAAGCAGCCTCCAGCCTTTTGCCTTCTTTTGTAACCGGGGTGTTGACCATATTGGACATTTGCTTCTGCATTTCCTTTTGTGTAGTAATTAGCTGCAAAAATGATAGAAATCACGATTAAGACACCATATATGGTGCAGCAAAAAGCTTTAAACCACATTTATTTAGAAAAGCAAGATAAAATATGGCTATGCAAAATACATATAGGGAAAAATAGGTGAATATGTAATAATCATAGAGTTGCCTTGGTGAACTTTCATATAAATGAACAATGGAACCTGGCTTGATTTTTATCCAAAATTATGGTACGATCAACGATTATAAACCAATCGAAAACTTAAAA